AGTACTAAGAAAAAGTAAAATAAAACACATTTCACTCTTTTTTCTTCACAGTGTTATACTTCTGGAATAAAAAGAGAGATGCAAAGGTTAATTCAATAAACTTTGATTATATTGATTATAACTCAAATAGAAGATTAAATGAGATAACATACATATAGGACGTTGTCCTATTCACTTAAAGAAAATAAAAACACTTTAAAATGATTTTCTTCTTATAAGGGAAAAAAATAAAATCAAAGACAAAGAAAATAAACAATAGAAAAGTTTTTTTCACCAGGGTTACCTCTACATTAGCACCTCTAGTAATATATTTACTGAGAAAAATGGTGACAGATATTTTGGTCTCTTGGTCCTGTTTAAGTTGGGCACAGCTTTGTTTCGTTCACGGTATTTAGTTCACCATTTCCATCCTGCCTCCCCCTCACTTTCCTTTTCCAGGTGACCCCACCGACACAGACTACACAGCGGTGGGCTGCGCCATCACCACCATTTCCTCCAACCTGACGGAGATGTCGAAGGGAGTAAAGCTGCTGGCTGCGCTGATGGAGGATGACGTGGGAGGAGGGAACGACCTGATGAAGGCTGCCAGGACACTTGCAGGTGCCGTGTCTGACCTCCTGAAGGCCGTGGAGCCGGCTTCTGGAGAGGTGAGCTTTGAATCACTTAAAAAGACCAAAGGTGTGATGGGTGGGGGAAAAAAACTACAAATATATTCCACAGAATGTTCTCTGTGTAGAAAGAAAGTGAAAACAGAAGACTAGAATTATGCACAATAGTGAGCCCATATCAAATTGTGGAGGGGAGTGTCTGGCAGAAAGTAAAAAGCGAGGAATAACTACTGATTTAAATACAGTCAGTAACCAGACTCTTCAGCTTTTGTGTTTCTGATTTGATGTCAAACTGCCAACGCAAAAGGCTAATTAAATTTATTACAGAGCAGCTGCATCCTGAGACAACTTGTCTTTTCGTAGAAATTCTGTCCTGCTTCGAAACTCAAACTAATTACGTTTGCATCCTCCACTGCTTGACTCCAGTTAACTGAACTGCCCTGGGTGATCTGTATAAAAAAAAAAGAAGAAAAAAAACAAGAGTCTGAATTCACTGGCAGAGCATCCTCTGTCTTAAAGAGTCAGAAGTCAGTCTAAAAATACTGAGGACAACCATTATGCGTTTGCAGACCTTTAATCTTTTTATCACAGTTTGTGAGGGCGGCTGGGTGTTTTGACGTGACAGGACGATTTAAAAAGTTGCTGTAGGATTCCTCCAGTTTTTCATCCAGGGCATCATAATCATAACAAACTAAATTAATAGCAACAGAGTTGTTTCTTTTTAAATTTAAAGGTATTCATCTTCTCATCCAAGAACTCTTGCCTTTATTTCAGTTTTGTAGGATTCTTGCAGCATGTCATGTGTCATCTATATGTTTTAAGATGTTCTTTGGTCACAAAACAGTTGATCAACTAAACCTTAAAGCCTCTAAAACTTCAATATACAGCTTTATTTTTGTACTGGTGATTTTTTTTTCTGTGTTTGTGTGCCTACAGCCCAGGCAGACGGTGCTGACAGCAGCCGGAAGCATCGGTCAGGCCAGCGGAGATCTGCTGCGACAGATCGGAGAAAACGAGACAGACGAGAGGTTCCAGGTAACCTTTCAGCCTCTACTTTTAGTAACATTTATTTAAAAAGAAAGAAAAACTGTGTTGGAACTGCCACTCAATTCATCATAATTTTCAGTTTCAATGTGAGGGACACAGTTTGTCAGAGTTTTAAATCACAAAAGGTTTAAATAGAAAGCTGTGTATTTGTATCAGTCAACAGTGGTTTTTCAAGTAGGGGTTTGGACCCTGCTGTGGGTCATGAAACACCAAGGAAAGGATCTTGAGTTGATTCTCTTAAAAAATGTAAAGGATTTCTAGTATATTTTAATGATAATTGTCAAAACATAAAAACCTCTAGTCTTAAATGTTTATACTTTATACATTCTTGTTTAAACTCCTTTAAACATTGGATCAGTTAAAGTTAGTGTGACAGAGCTATACTACTCTGTGCAACTAACATGTCTTACTCTGTTTTTAAATATTATGTATTGATTATAGGTACAGCCTTTAAAAAGAAAAGGTTTCTTCCATTTCAAGATAAAAGAAAATGCCTGTAGAACCTCATTTAGTGTGTCTTTACACATCTACAGAAAGAAAACTTTGGCTTTAAAAGGCATTAATGGTGCAATAACACTTAAGAGAGAACGGTCAAAATATACTAACGCAGAAATAAAACGTTTCCTCGCATTTACCTCCCATTCTGTTGCAGGACGTCCTGATGAATTTGGCCAAAGCAGTCGCCAACGCAGCAGCCATGTTGGTGTTGAAAGCCAAGAACGTGGCTCAGGTTGCTGAGGACACGGTCCTGCAGAACCGGGTTATAGCGGCTGCCACGCAGTGTGCCCTGTCCACCTCACAGCTGGTGGCATGTGCAAAGGTATAAGAGCATGCATTGTACAATGAATTTTAAATGATAACCGATGTTGATTATTATTTTTTTGCTAATCATATGTGTAGTTCAACTCTCCACATGGCAGTGAGATGAGACCTCTTAAGTCATATTTTTTTAAAGCTCCCCAGTTTTAAATGTGATTCATTGATGGAAAGGTCATACAAAGGACTTATATGTGGTTTTTGTTTAATTTATTTATAATATAAATGTATATTTTTAACTCATTGCTAAGTTTTCTTTTTTTCCTCTTTGATACTCTTTATTCCTGCTCGACTGTGTTTTACATGTTTCACCTTGTGGCTGCTGCAGGTGGTGAGTCCCACCATCAGTTCCCCAGTTTGCCAGGAGCAGTTAATCGAAGCTGGGAAATTAGTGGACCGATCGGTGGAGAGCTGCGTGCAGGCCTGCCTCTCAGCCACAGAAGATGGAGAGCTCCTCAAGCAGGTCAGCTTTACTCATCCACTGAGCTTTGCTGCAATAAACGTTAGTGTCCCACCTCATGTTGCTGGCTTTATGTCAGATAACAATTAAAATCATGCAGAAAATTAGTTACAACTGACAAAATATTTACAAAAGAAAAGCAAAAAAGTGTTATTGTATTGCTGAGGTAAACTTTGTGCTCTAAAGTCCAGATTATTTAGTCTGTTTCTCCCCAGTTTGATCAAATATAATAATAAGTGGTAATGAAGTATAAAAAGTGCACTGCTGATGTGCGTCTCAATAAAGGTGAGCGCTGCAGCCAGTGTGGTGAGTCAGGCTCTGGCAGATCTCCTGCAGCATGTCCGTCAGTACACCTCCAGGGGAGAGCCAATCGGACGCTACGACCAGGCTACTGACACCATCATGAATGTCACTGAGAACATCTTCAGCTCCATGGGAGATGCAGGTGAGTCCAAACAAGCATTTTCCCCTTTTAGGGCTACAAAAACGAATAGATAAAAATCAGTTATTAAAAGAGTTGGCAATGAATTTCATTATCGATTCGTTGTGTCGCGCTATTTTTGCGTCTCTTGCCATGTTGCGGAGCCGTTTACATCCCCCGCAGAGTGTTGTTAATGCTGGCTGACTAAATAAGGTTTAGGAAGAAAGAAAAAACCCTACCTGTAAAGATCCGCCCTCTCTGAGACCGTCAAGTGAAAAGCAGAGACTTCGAACTTTAAACCAGTTTTTAAATTGTGTTGTTAGGCCAAGTAGTTCCGAAGATATGATAAAAAGTATATGCTACATTAAATTTTTCTTAAATAACGGTCTGATTTGATGAGAGCCACATTGCAAGGAAGAAGCCCATCCCGTGGAGAAAAAAAAAGGGTACCTCAGTCCACCATTTGTTTCCTCCTCTCAGGCCAGAAATATGTAACCCTCGTCTCTGTTTATTTAACAGGAAAAGATTACTAAAAATCAAGCCTGACTCAGCATAATTGCTGTTTTACAGCAGGTTCCTGTTCTGCAGCACATAAAACACTCAGAATTACAGCATCACAATCACATCATTATACACCAGGGGTGTCAAACTCCAGTCCTCGAGGGCCGCTATCCTGCATGT